GGAGCGTTATAGGTTTTATAGCCTGCTCTTTCTGACTGTGCCAAGTTTGCGCTGATTGAATCTCTTTGTGAAAAGTTACGATTTTCGAAATAAATGCCAAAAAATCATATCTACCCTTTTTTACGACTTCGGAAATCATAACCAGGGTCAAGCGTGGGGTGTGACAGGCCACCCTGGAGGGTCGTATTGAGGAGTCAAAAGAGAGGGGATCGTATTCGGTATTCTGATATTAGTGATAACATGATATTTGTGAGCAGTTTGCCGGTAATCCCATTATGCGAAAAAGCAGATGAAGTATTGACTATCTTGGCAAGCCAAAGATGTGCTACGAAGCTTAATGAGTATCACCTTTATAATTAGCATGTCATTCAACCCCTGCAGACAAAGTTTGAGCGAATTCTATGGCCGCCACAGCTTTTGAGGGGTACCACTCCCCATTAACTATATCAAAAAAAAACATTTTTAGGGAACATTATTTGAATGAATCGATAGCCTAAATCTCCTAGATTCCACGGAAATGATTTGAGTTTGATTCGTCTTCTTAGGTCTGATTAATATTTGGTGAAAGCACAGCGATCAAAAGCGAAAAATGGGAAAAACGAGATTTTGGTTCTTCTAATTCCACAATTTGCGGTCTTTGCGAGGCGCCCGATTATCATGTCAGTGTTTTAATCAGGGTCAAGCAAGGGGCGTGGCACACGATCGCTGGTTACGACCCCCCCCCCCCTGATTGCTGTCTTAATAAGACCCCCCCCCCCCCTGAACTATATACCTAAGATAGCATTACCAGAGTTGAGAAAGAGGTCAGGCACAAGTCTTTCGAAAACAACCCACCCCCCCCCCCTCCCATGAAAGCCCTCAAACGACCCCTTCTTCCTCCTCTTAACCTCTGGACCTCAAAGTGTGACATTCTGGAGGACACCAGCTTTTTCTAGAGAGTTTTCAGATTTCTGAGAGCTGTACGCCCGATTTTCTGTGACTGCACTTTGCAATCACACGTAATTTGACGGCTGATTTTGATCTTAATGGGCATATTGAAAGGGCCATAATTTTCTTATGGGTGGGGCGTTCGGCTCCAAATTTCCAGTGTAGCAAGAAGAAGCTATGTGCTCAATAATCATACCAGCAATGGAGCGCTTTCTGGATTTTGAAGGCAAGTTAAGGGGGTGCGGCACACCCCCTTGAAAGCTGCGGCTGCCGCAGCTTTTAAGGGGGTGTGCCGCACCCCATTAACTATATCAAAAAAACATTTTTAGCGAACAATATTAATATGAATCGATAGCCTAAACCTCGTAGATCCCATAGGAATGTTTTAAGCCTGATTCGTTTTCTTAGCTCTGAGTAATATTTAGTGAAAGCACAGCCATCAAAAGCAAAAAATGGGAAAAACGAGGTTTTGGTTGGCTTTTATTTCCACAGTTTCGAGGTCTTTTGAAGCGGGATTTCTGGGGTGGGCAAAGAAGGAGTAGTGTTTCGTCTTGAGTGCAAAAGCTGGTAGCTAATTCACCTTTGAAACAAAGCGAATCATGTTGAAAAATGACCATTTCACTTAGGTGGCTAAGCATCTTGAAACTTCAGAATTCGCTCAAACTTTGTCTACAGGGGTTAAATGGCATGCTAATTATGGATATATCGCCCGTTGTGTTTGACAGGGCCTTCAAGTAATGCTATCTTAGGTACACAGTTCAGAGGGGGGAGGGGTCTTATTGAGACAGCAATAAGAGGGGGGGGGGGTCGTAACTAGTGATCGTGTGCCGCACCTCTTGCTTGACCCTGATCATAACTTCCTAAAAGACGTTCAATCAGCGCAATCTTTGTACACTCAAAATGAGTAGGTAATAATAGCTATGATATCGATTGCTCCGATTTTCTGCAAGCAGATTTTTGCAAACCAAATATGGGAATATTAAAATGGAGTAATTTTCTTCACCGATTTGATCTCTGGAGCTATCAAAAAGTGCCTCAGGTACCATTAGAAAGAGCATGTCTTCCTTCAGAATAAACATGTGCAGATCAGATGTGAAGGAAGAAAGTTTCGAATTTTTGAAAAGGATGGGGACGAGCTTTTGGTTTAATAGTATTATTTTCTAAGTATTAATTTTATGAAAATTCAACAATAATTTACAATAACTTTCACTTACACATACCTGCCTTAGAGTCTGACACATACTTGTTTTTTGTGGAAGGCGGGAATATTAGATTAAAGCAAAGGTGCTGTCTCTTCAAATTTGAGAATTTCAAAAAGAAAATTTAAATCGAAGTAAAGCCATGATTTTTGCAGAAAACTCTTGTAATTTTCAAATCTTTCCAGAGCTTTTCTTGTTGAGATTTCGAAATTTCACAAAATTTAAAATGAATCGTCCAAATTTGCTTCGTACTTGGCGAAGAAGTTGCAAAATGGAACACTTGCGGCAAGGCACGTTTTACATCAAGAAATTTCAATAATTCTCATTACAGAAAGGAAGGGAGGCCGAAGCCGGCTTCAGTCGCGCGGACAAGGTCAAAAATGTCAAAATGACACCCGATAAGTGGAAACGGTTTATTTCCACCAAGGACCATCTTCCCTTTGAAGCGCATGTTATCCTTTGTGAATGAGATTGTTATTCTTGTTTTTATTCTATTCTTCCACAATTCTTTACTCTTCCATCGGTATAACATTGCTTTTTGATTCTAAATATTTGCCGATTTTTTCCAACTCTATTCGGTTATGCATATATACTCGAATGCTTCTGTGATTTTATGTATATTTATTTATGAACACTTCATTGATCTGTTAATTTGCACTTATCAACTTCGGCCTACTGTGATTCTATATGGAACCTGCATGAAACAATACACTGTGCTATTTGCTTTCTCATTAAAACTATCTCGCTGTCTACGTTTCTTAGCATCTAGAAAGTCTAGAGGAATTTCCACATCAAAGGAATAATGCCTTAGTAAGAAGCGAAAACCTAGTATTGGAAAGGAAAATCTAGTATCAAAAAGGAAATTTCATATGGAAGGAACGGATCGCGAATTAAAAGCGCAAAGTGCTGCGAAAATCCTACGGAAGCGCTGCGGAAACCCTGCACCCTGAGATTGCAGGGTTTCCGCAGCGCTTTCGCAGGATTTCCGCCGGGTCACCTGCGGAAATCCTGCGAAAGCGCTGCGGAAGTTCCGGCCAGTTGTCTGAGTCCATATATAGGCCACGGCATGGCGTGTACAACAATGTGACTGATGCCGCAAATGCGCAAATAGCTAGCAAGTTTACGACAACTTTACAAGCACAATCAGATTTGTCATTTTTTTCTTTGATTTTTTCTTTGCGTTTGATTGAGTTTTTTCTCTCCCATAATTTTTTACAACATACTTTTGCATCGTCTCTTTTATGGTAACATTTTGGTGCCGCTAGCACACTAAAAACAAGGGGTGAAAAACGAATCGAAAGATTGAAAAATTCGTCGAAAATTTTTCTTTTTGTGTGCATCGTGTAGGATTTGAGTGGGAACAATAGTAATTTTCTTTTTTAATTTTCAAAAATTATTTTCATGCTAACATGTGAATGTGCCCTGACATGGCGCAACACGTAGCTCATGCGATCGTGTGCGACATGATTGTGCCACCCCTATATTCGCTAAGAACTATGGATCATACTCTGTCCGGTTACCACACCCTCTGTCTCTCCATGATCACTTGGAAGAATGCCAGCCCCTTGACAAAAATGTCTATAAAACGTACTTCCACCGATAAAGTGGGTGTTTTGCGCACGGACCGTGGATCTGACAGTACCGACGGGTAGATCTTTGCACTCCATCAATTTTTACTCAAACATAAGAATTTTCGAAAGTTTCTTAGATTCTTGAGAAATAAGAAAGAAAGTGCAACAGAAATTATCCGCCAACCCAATATTTTCTTTTTTGACTCATTTCGAGATATCTCCGAATGACCAAAGCAGCAACCTACTTTATTATATTAGGTTGGCTAATAAACAAGTTCGGTTACTTTCGCGGCCTTTACAAATGCTGTAGACAATCTTTTCAGTGCGGTATTGGAATATAAGTTCTATTTGTGTAGAACTCCTTTTCCAAGGATAAAAATCATGAGAAACCTCATTTTTTTCATAGTGCGCAAATACGACAAAATTCGGCTTCTTTTTGACAAAACATTTTCAAAGTGTCAGATCACAATTTTTTTTATTCACTAAATGGGAGAACATCCTCTGTTCCAAATACCAAGCTGCTGTTCTGTACATCTATCACAGCATAAACGAAGTTTAGAAATCAAAGAATTGCTTTTGGAAATTTAGTCATGCTGAGGCATAGCTGTCTTTACTGATGATAGAAAATTTTGAATATCTGGTATGTGATAGAGGAGGCTTTAAACTGCTTTCCCACACAGGATCATATGTAGAAAACAACGGGAAATTTTTTTATGAAGATTTGCATGGAAAAACAAACTTATTTTTTAGCCATCCTTAAAGTTGGGCAGATTTCCATTTGCTCTTAAAGGCAGTGTCCGGGCAAAAACTCGATTTTGAGATTTTGTGCTTATATGGGCCTATTCGCCATGCTGAATCCGAAAATCCACATTGGAAAACACGAAAACGGCGAAAAGGGGCTTTAACACAGGAGGGAAATCAGCAGGTGGGCGGGGCTTTCCCCAGTGCGATTTCAAGTTCTCAGCTCCCGGAGCGATTTTCTCGACTACGCTAGCTGTCCTAACATCGCTACCGGTTAAGTGCGAATGATTGACTTGAACCCGGAAGCGAAAAGGCTGCTCCGGAAGCCGGGAACGTGAATTCGCAGTGGGGAGGACCCCTCCCACCTGCTCGTTTCCCTCCTGTGTTAGAGCCGTTTTTCGCCATTTTCGCGCTCTACAATGTGCATTTTCGGATTCAGCGTAGCGAATAGGTTCCGATAAGCACAAAATCTCAAAATCGAATTTCTGCTCGGACACTGCCTTTAATCTCAAGAGCTCGTGGCTAGAGGATTAGAATAATTGACCGTTATGCAACAGTACACTTACTCGCTGTGATCGTAGTATCCCACCATCATTGACGGAGATCTCAGTGCAAGTTCTCCAACTTCATTACATTCCAGGCATTCTTTGTTTTCTCCAATAACCTGTAGAAAAAGTCTGTTCTAAAAAAATCCGGGAAAAATCACGCTTATAGCAGTATTCAAAAATATTCTACTTGATTTTACTGAAAAAAGTCAAATCTAGTGAGGTTCTACCAATTTTAAACATCGATACCTACCACAGCTTCTACACCAGGCATCGGTCGTCCAACTGATGAAAGCCTTGTGTTTCCTATAGGTGACATGAATATCAATAAACCTGCTTCTGTCAGGCCGTACACTGGAAGATACAATAAAAGTCTTTTTGTTTACGCTACGGTACTGATACTTACTCTGTAGTACTTCAACATTAGGTAATCGTTTCTTTAAGGCCACCAGCTGACTTTCTTTGCTCGACGCTGCTCCCACAAAGATGTACCTTTAAGTTAGAATGCGGTAATACAATTTAGTAGGTTTTTGTTCACTTTAGTGTGCTTACGGTATCCAGATTAGGCGACTAAATCTGCGCGTGAACTAATAGATGTGTCAGAAATGCCGGCATTCTGCGCGCGCAGGTGGCCGGCATTACGGGTGCAGCTATTCGTTCACGCGCAAATTTTAGCGAAGAATCTCAAGTACACTATATCAGGTAAAAAATCTGTTAGACTTTACAAATTATTGATTAGAAAAAATACTCGCTTTAGTGCGCTAAGGTCGTAGGCGTCCACTGCGGGGTGATTGTTGAGAAAATCAAGTATTGTGGGCACAATGCTGAGAAATGTAATCTAAAAAGTGAAAAACGACTCTATAGGTCTTGAAAAATTAATCGATATCAAAGCTATACCTTGTGCTCAGTCAAAATGCGAAGAAATGTAGCAGGTGTGAATTTTTTGTTGATTACTAACGTAACACCTTCTAGCAGCATTACGAATACCGTAACCAGTCCACCAGCGTGAAAATACGGTAGCACACCATGCCACATTTTATCACCCAGTAAACTGGGAAAGGGAAATTTTGACTTTGTGAGTGTAGTTGCGCTGGAAAGCTGTGGATTTGATGGTGAAAAGATCAATAAATTGATATTTCACGTACATGACTTGAGCAAGGGATGCCAGCATGCTACGATGGCTGTGACATATTGCTTTTGGAGGTCCTGTGGTCCCGGATGAGAAGAGTATAAATGCCTGTGCACACACCATTTCTATAATTGTTCTGGCAGGTAGCCCTTACCGTTTCTTCTCCTGAGAGCTCTATCTCTTTCTTTTCTTTGGGAATGTCTTCATCTTCTCGCAGACCTCGCAAGTCTTTCAAGTTTACGACAGTAATTTTCGAGAATTTTTCCTGTCGTGCTAATGCTTTTCTCATCTTTTCTTCGTAGGCAGTTTCAATTATCACATGATCGACCTTGCAAGTGAGCAGATACTTCTCGATTTCGACTAAAAGTACCTATTTAAAATTGCTTCAATGCATGCCATTATTTGTGAATGTGTTTAGAAGATCGCACTGATTCGAGAGCGGGAGGAAACGTGGACCGGAGATGAGCAGACCGATGTAAGCGCGCCCCAAAGCAAATTTGCGCACTTTTCGAATTAAACATCAGGAGTAGTATTCTCGTCTACGTCTCCCTTGTCATCTGAGACTTCCAGACGCAAAGCATGGCTTTCAAGGCAAATTTTTGAACGCGTGACCGAATCCGCCTCTCCGGCTAGTACCGCCCACCTTCTTTTGGGCGCCAACGCGGCTTTATTGGCCGCAGAGCCAGGGCCCGGCACGAGGTGTGCAAATGACAAGCTGGAAATCGTTTTGGGGCCAAAAAGCAAAGGGGATATCGTTTTTGCGGGATCCGGGGCGGAGCCCTGGAAGAAGATTCCAAGTGCAAGCAAAAGAAGGTCGAATCATGCTTACCTTATACATCTAATTCATCGGAAAATAGTTTTCCTAAACCTCAACGCACAGCAGACTTCGCGCACACTAAGCCGCGTTGCCGCTAATTGCCGCTTGCGCGACGTAGCATGAGCGATGCCGTTGAACAGCATGATTACATGATCAGTTCTCAATGCAGGCGTAATGATATAGCACCAAATTACGTAAGCGAACAAAGAAAGGCTAGTAGAAACAAAGCATGAAATGTTATGAAAACTTATGTGAATGGGAGGTGTAATAAGCATTTTTTTCAAAAATTTCGCAAAACTGGTAAATGAAGATGTGAATTCAAATGGCTCCTTGCAGCGCACAGATGACCATACGGTATGAAACTTGGTAGGTACATGAACACGAGCCTGCAGGACTTATTTATTGAAAAATTATGTGAATGAAGGTTGTGGCAAGCTTTTTTCTAAAAATTTCCCACTATCGAGAATATGGAAAAATGGCTCGTTTGCAGCACAGAGAAAACGAAATCGCGCGAGACTTGGTGTTTATACGCGCAGTAGGACTAAGGAACAATGTATGAAAAATTATGAAAAACTTATGTGAATGAAGAACGTGCTTAACTTTTTTCCAAATTAGGTAGGCAATTGCCCACATAATGCCCACCTGAGGTGGGCAAAACTTTCAATTCACATAATTTTTTCAAAATTTTTACATAAATCTGTTGTTCACCTAATGTTTACTTTATGGTGAGATTTTGGTTCCGAAACTCCTCCTCTTATCTTTGTTAGAGCCCAAAATCGCATCAGCAGCCTAGCTTTCTAAGATGGAAAGGCGCCCCAGCCAATTGATACGCGCGGGAACGGCGTCTCTCAGTCCTATGCTGCGTCCCTTTGGTATTCTTTCATTCCTTCATCATTTTCCTTGCTTATTCTTCTTCCTGTTTTCTATCTTGATACAGATGAGGAGTAATTAGAGGAATTTGAGCATTTTGGGCGCTTTTGAGCGCTTTTAGGTGAAGTGTGGCCTGTGCTTTCGTTCCACAAGCACAAAGCCTCATTTTTGGGCTCAAGGGGGTATTCGTAAAAACTACTGGGGTCAAAGGGGAATTCGTTTTGGAAAACCCCGTCTGCCTACCTCGTGCCGGGCCCTGCGCAGAGCGCATGAGGCGCAGGATTACAAAAGTGAGGATACGCGCGCGCCACGTTCGCGCACACTCAACTAATGCTGCTTCTGCGCCTTCCATGCAGTAGCCTTTAGAATCATCCAAGGGCCAAGAATGGAAGCCTTACCACAGTTATGGTGAACTGGCAAGTGTCATTTATGATTCATTAGTTTCAAGCAAATCTTCTCATATTTTTAATTTTCATATGACGCTGTTATAATTGTTGCTTTCCGTGCAACGTAACAGAGGGCACCGAAAAGGCGGAAAATCGTTCGTCTAAATTTGCTTTGTTTTTTGGTGTTTGGTATTTTCTAACGAAAAATGGTTGACATGAAGCGGAAAAGTGAGATGAATTTGCTCTGCTGACAAAGTGCTATACTCACAGACTGTAGAAGCGGGATTGATAGGGAGAATAGCGGCACCCAGGTCGACAACCGCCAAACACATAAGAATGAAGTCGATCGAGTTACCACAAAGTGTTGCAACGATTTTACCCTAAAAATATTCAAATATTTTCTTGTGGTTCAAAATCAGAAAGCATAAAAGTGATCAAAGTGTTCTTACGCTGCTGACTTCCAGTTTGTCCAAATGGAACTTCATCTGATTTACTATATTTTCTAGATCCCAAAATGCCAAACGTTCATTCGTTTCTGGATCGATCTATAAAAACAAAGACATTTTGTTGCCCGGTACGGTTATCCATCAAGATAAACGCTTACAAATGCAAGTTTAGCTTCATAATTTTTGACAAATCCTAGAAATGCTCGCGTGAAAGATTTTTCTTCAGAAGGGAATTTGACTAACGGTACGTCGGATTTGGCTGACATAAGGAATTTTCCTGAAATTCAAGATTTTCCAAATTAGAAAGAATCAATTAATAGCGAAGTTTAGATGTGGATGTTGAGGGGAGGATGGCATTGTAGGCGATATAGTGAGGGAGGATGAATGATAATTGGCTGCAATTTTGCATTAGATCAATTTCGGCTGATAGATGTCAATTAGAAAATTCAAATGGTTGAGTATCTGGATTTCTCTCATACTTGTTTGTATTCAAAATTTTTTTACAGTCAGCTGTGCCTTAAAAATGCTGCAAAAGTGCAATTATGGAATTTCCTATGCGCAGCAGCGCGTAAAGGGTGCAAAATGATTGAACTATTTATTTGTTCAGTTTTTTTGAAACTCAGAATTTTTTGATAAAAGGAGTTAGTGTGCAAAATATTTAAAAATATTACTGGTTCTTAAATGTTATTGATATCTTGTTTCATAGCTTCGTTTTTTTTTCTTTCTGTTTATAGTTTTCAAAACGATGCTTCCAGAATGAGCATCTGCGCCTCTGACAAGGGAAGGATACTTGGTCGAAGTGGTCTTTCCATATGGTACACTATCTTATAGAGCATAAAACGCTGTTTCCAAATCTGCTTTCCTTATTGCAAAGCGCTCTGGGACAAGAGTTACGAGAATTTTTTCATGCAGAAATTTGAAAGGGCGGTTACTATAAAATCGTTCAAAACTTTAGTCCGTGAGCTCGTATGGGGCCATAATTGCTACTAGGGGTTTTTATGCAGTAGATACCTTCAATCTAATAAACTCATGCTGTCATTACTCCTTTCAAGCGCCGGGAAAGATTTCAACACCTGTTTTTACCCTAGTCAAATCATTGTATTAGGTCGTTTCAAAAGTAATTTCGCTTTTTTCAAACGGGCGCCACATTTGACTGGACAAAGGTTTCCAAGAGATTTTGGAGGCATTCGATGCAGAATGTCATTCTCTTTCTGTTGGCTATGAAACTGTTGTAAAACAGTCAATGAGCTTTCAGAAAATAACCAAAATTTGCAACCCATGATTTTGAGATAGTTAAGTTTCACGATTGTTTAAAACTTTCATATCAATCCTCAGAAGGAGTTCAAGTAGCAGCTTGGGCACTTTTCGATGCAGCATTTCCTCCTCTATCTAAAGGTTGTTTTTTGTTTCCGATTCGTTTAGTTTCCGGGGAGAAATCATCATTACTCTTTTTTTAGCGAGCCCTAGGCTGTACCTTAAAACTCAAAATTTGGTATTTTGAACCCGTAAACCCTCACTTTCTTTGTAAAATTGATGCTAACTCATAGTACCATCTTGGTAGTCTCAAATTCCGAAAAATTATGATGTTTGATGCAATTGTGGCTGAGGTGGGCCTACCAAAATGTGATGGTTCTATTAAAAAATCTTTTAAAAAATTACGGCAAGCTACGAGTAAGAGAAAAAGTGGTGCTATATTCTATAAAGTTTACTCTATCGAATCGTTACTTGAATTCCTTCTGAGGACTGCTATGAAAATTTTGAAAAATCGTGAAACTTGACCGTCTCAAAAAGCATGGATCGCAGATTTTGGTTATTTTCTGAAAGCTCATTGACTGTTTTGCAGCATTTTCACAATTGTTAGGAAGAGAATAAAACTCTGCATCGAATGCTCCCAGGATCTCTTAGACCTTTGTTCCATCAAATGTGGCGCCCGTTTGAAAAAAGCGAAATTACTTTTGAAACGACCTAATATTTTTACCTCAAAAAATTCCCAGAACTCTCCTCGCAGAGGCGCTTTGCAGATAAGAAAGCAGATTTGGAATCAGCGTTTTATGTTCTATAAGTCAGTTTACATTTCATCTGGAAAAGCCACTTCGACCAAGTATCCTTCCCTTGTGAGACTATTGATTAGTTACATTTCTGCACTGAATTCAAAAAAAACTAAAACTAAAAACCGACCTAATGGATCAGATCTAACAATGCTCCTCCATTTATCGTTCAGTCATTACTTTAGTTAGCTTATGCGAAATTAGCAGTTTCCGGAATTTTGAAAATCTTTTTGATTAACTACACTTAGTTACAAGGGAGGGATACTTGGTCAAAGTGGCTTTGACCAAGTATCCCTCCCTTGGGATGGGGTCGAGGTGGGGTTTCCATAACGTCTTATGCCGTTCAATAAAGCATGAAACACGCTGATTCCAAATCTGCTTTCGTTACCTGCAAAGCGCGTCTGGAGGGGAGTTAGGGAATTTTCGAAGCAAAAATTCAAGGATTTGGCTAAGGTAAAAACAGGTATTGGATTTTTCCGAAGGTTGAAAGGAGTAATAACTGGCATAAGTTTGATAGGCTGAAGATTTCAATTGCATGAAACGCCTTGGCAGTAACCATGATTCAATGTGAGTTCACAGCCTATATTTTCGGATGACTTTTTCGCAGCCGCGCGTTTGACTTTTTGGAAATCTCCTTATCTCTCCACCCAGAAGCGCTTTGCAGATACCGAAAGCAGACTCGGAATCAGCGTTTATGCACAATAAGACAGCATACATATTTCGTATGGAAACTCCACTTCGACCAAGTATCCTTCCCTTTCTGATTCGGTAAATCATCTGGAGCTTCTGATGAATCGATGCAGAGTGTGCGTCGCTATTATTTTTGCACGTACTAAGCACACGTTCCATACTTTTGATCCGTTTGCCTTGCTAGCACATTTAGAACTTGCCAACGCGTCTATCATTTTATTTTCATCTCGATTGTGTCGCTTCGCTGAGATCAGACTATCATTTTATTTTCGTCATTCATTTCATTTGTAGTCAATATAGTCGTTTACCATGTAAAATTGACGGTTATCTCGCTGACCTCTGCACACAGAACTTGTTTGACGTGCTGATTGCAGGCAATAATTCGGAAAAGTTGCAAGTGTGAGCTTTTCATCTCTTATTGGCCTCATGGATGCGCTGAATCCAGGACTGTGCTAGAAATTTCTCGAATTTGTTAAAAAGTGCTTATAGCGTTTCCCGGCCTTGGTGATTGCTGAAGATGCTAGACGACCAATATCAGCCACCGAGGCGCGATTGGCTGCCTGAGCCAATCAGCCCATCGGCGTCAAAATGGGTGGAGTGACTCCTCCTACACAGTTTCCTGCAGCCAGTTGTTTTTTGGCGGGAATCTCTTCCAGCACCTTCAGCAACATCTAAGTCTGGAAAACCCCACAAAGAGCACTTTTCTGATAACTTCGACAGATTTCAAGCACAGTATCAGACTCAGCGCATCCAGCACGCCCAGGAGGGATGGAAAACCGCAGTCGCAATTTTCACGATGCACTGCGTCTAAGAAAACCATATTCATTTCTTGAGACGCTATTTTAGGTATAAGGTATGTGTAAGAAATTTAGAACTCTGAAATGCTTCACAGAGGGGTTCTTCGACATGCTAGTTACGAAAATCACATCCATTCATCACGATAGCAATTGTGGACTTTTATGGTATGGGGTGAAAATCACAGATTACGCTATAGTCTTGGGCGTGTAGTGGGTTGTTTGGCACGCCGATCACGGAAATAATATATTAGGTTGGCCCGAAAGTTCTGTCGCACTTTTCAAAAATTCATAATTCTGGATTTCTAAACCGATTTGCGTGTTTTCGTCTTCGTATGAAAGAGCAATTCATTCTCTTGTGCCTTAGCGGCTTTCTGTTGAGCATACATTGCATAGATAGAAGCTGTAGAAGAAACTTACTCAAATTTTGTCCTATGTAGGGTCATAAAATATCTGAAACTTGCAATATTCTGAGCAGTTGGTATTATAGGTTCTATTACCCGCTTTCCTAACTGTGCAAGTCTGTGCTGATTGAGCGTCCTCTATAAGAAGTTATGATTTTCGAGCAAGTAATTTAAAAGGGCTTCATTTATTAGGTCATTCGAAAAGTTTTTTTTCGCTTTTTGCGCCTTTGATGTTGGTAAAATATTTTAAGAGGATGCCAGATGGCTGATAGGGGTTGCTATATATGGATCGTAGAGGAGGTATTCTAATTTCTGGAGATCCCACGGAAGTTGCAGTAAACGCTTTGTAGGGAAGTTTACGCGGCTCTGAATTCGACTTACGAGAATGCGATTTTCGAGTAATTGCATTCTCTAAACTTGGACTTGAGCGTAAGACCGTTGAGGAAACCATCATTGTGCGCAATGCATTTGCCAAGACCACGTCTTTCTTAAGGTAGGGTTCAAGTTTACTTCAAAACGTCCAGATCCAGAGAAATGAAAGCTAATATTTTGCAGTTTCCTGGAAGGTATTCCTACCATATAAATGAGCATTTCAGGGGGTCCTTTGGAGCAAATCACAAATATAGCTGCGTAAAATAATCAGCAGGCATTGAAGTGTCATATAACCCTATTAGAAGCCACTTTCGCTAAAGCTGCAATACCGAATTTTACTGACATGTACACCATAAATTGTCGCACTCGCAGATTGAGAGCGCGTTGACTCTGCTATCGTTGCTCGTAATTTTATGGAGTAATCCTTTTTGGTCCTTTTTTGGCCTGGGTTATCAATTACAGCAAAAAATTGGCTAAGTGCGGCTACAAGAAGCGACATTGTGGTAAATCATTTGAAATAAGCATTTAAAGCATGGCCGGAACAGTCATTCAGTCATTCCAAAAGGTTGATGTACTCAAATTTTGTAACTCTGCTGGTCTTGTACGCTAGCTAAAATGCGATTGTACTGTAAGAGCAAATTAGTGTCCGTTTGTTAGAATTTTAACCGAGCAGACTTATAAGTATAAGCTATGAAAGATGCCATCGCTCGCCCATGACGTCGCCAAACCACATGTAAGAAAGATTGCCCTCACAAAAGGGGCTGACTGCGAACCGAGGTTCCCATTTATTTTTCGAACTCCTTGAACCTTCCTTTAACAATCACCAAATTTTCTAATTTCTGGATGCCTATCAAATAAGAAGACCTAATAAAGATTTGCTAGTCCAAAACGCCTTTTTAGGCTTTATTGATTCCTCTGAGATTATTTCGCAAGAGAAAAGTACATACAAGAGGGCTACGTGAGTGTTACC